CGGATCAAGTCAGTTACTAATAGAAAATCTGGATTTAAGCAAAGTGAAAGTTAGTTAGATTAAGAAAGATATTATTCGCCATGTCATAGGCGGCGCTGAGTCCTTTAAGAAATGAACCCCAGACCTTCGTATTCTGCGCTCAGGTGACCACTGGACTACAATAGACAATTCTATGAGTAAGGCCATTACCAGGTTCACGTATTACAACCTTCCCGCTTAAGGATTAACAAAGGTCTTCAGTTTCTCCTGTTGGTCCCCTGCTTGTGAAAAAACGAAAAACATCTTTCTTTATTACATTACCAAGCTCAAAATTGCTCATCTTTCATATTGAATTGTTGTTCAATTGTCTCACATCTAGTTTGTCAAAACAAAACTCTATTTTTGAGTTTCATATACACTGAAAAGTTCAATTGGGCAACCACTTTACGCAGTGCAGCCTCCAGCATGAAAAATAATGTGTATGCCATGACAATTTAAGTGAGTTAAATATAAAATTGCGTTTCCTTGTCTTGGATTGGTGTTCACAAACAAAACAAACAACGGAAATGACAAGCTCAGAAAGAGTAATAAGTCAGTTACTCATGATAATAGTGCTCAGTTCTCTTTTTCTTATATATATATAAATGTAGATTTACTAATAAGCGTTATCCATTTCTATGTCAGATTACCCAGTTTCACCTCCACGCTTCACTTTAAGTTCTAGAATGATGAGTTTTAATTAGAAATCTTTCTCGAGACATTGAGTTGATTAGGATACTCACACAAAAACAACAAGAAAGCAGCAAATATTCATGAAAATAATACTGCAAACGAGGATTGCTGGTGACTGAGTTTTCTGTACATAACGTAATCCTGCCTAAGATATACCGAGTTCCAACGATTATCACGATCAGAGTGAGAAAATAAAGCTTATTGCCTCAGAGGCGAGTGTCGTAAGTAGCACTCGAATTATCTTCTGAGGAGCCATTTTCTACCAAAGCCAGACGATTTCCATTTTCTGGGGGCGAAGTATCGTCTTGAAAACCCTAGTGGAGAGAAAATTCACACGCAAGCTAATCTTATGAAAAATGTTCATATCATTTAATTTACACCGTAAACTTTAATGACTCACTGTTACTTTAAAAATGAGGAACTGGCAGACGTGTTGCTTTGGCTAATAAAAAGAAGGTCATGGACGTAAACTCATACTTTCGCCAATCAAGGAAACTTCAACTTTAAAAAGTTCTTGGGGTGCACTACCCATTATTTTTAAGGCACAGTGTGTCCCATGCAAACCAAAAAAGGATTACCCTGAATATTTGACTATCAAATTCGATACAATGTCTAAGTAACAGTGAGCTTTCAGTGAAAAAAAAGATAGGCGATTAAATTATTTGTACTCCTTTGACCCTCATATCTAACGCGGTATGTGGAAGTTCAATCTTTTCGAACCATTCATCCGCTCCATGAGAGGTTAGAAATATGCTCTGGCAACCTACCTTATTGATGCATCCACTACGTTCCAGATTGGCGACGTTAAGTGAAGGCAAACTAAGCTCAGTCGTTTTTATTTTAGTCGCAGGATTGCTCGCTGCCGCCGTGGAAAAAAGGGCCCCTGGTTTATGCAGGTAGTGAACTCCTCTTTTTCCATGCGCTGAGCAAGACAAAAAACGAGATTTTGAAATATAATTGACCAACATTTTTAAAAGGTATTTTTGTCAGAAATCTCT